GAAATTCGTATTGGAGAAATGATCTTCAGAAACGACTTATTAGCTGTAAACCGAGGTAATACATAGACTTTTAGACGAGGTGCGATCGGATCAATTATAGATCTAACAATCGCATCGTCTAAACTATTTAGCCGCATAACCGACTGGCGGGTCTCTGAGGAATATAACGCAAGTGACCACCAGTACATTGAGTTCTCAGTCTCGATGGGAGACACACGAGGAGGAAAAAGACAGGATGCTCCTAGTCGCAAAACCTCCTCGTGGAATGTGAAGAGACTCGACAAGGAAAAGTTCGGCCGGTCCCTAAGAGAAGCCATTTTAATTGAGGACTTTGGCTGGGTGAAGAGGCCGAGCAGTCTGGATAGGGAGGTGCTAGCGGTGAGGAACATGATAGTCACCGCTTGCAATGCGTCAATGCCACGCAAAGGCGATATTCCCGTAAGAAAATCCTTGCACTGGTGGTCAGAGGAGCTAGCCTCTTTGAGGAAGGAATGCCTCAAAGCAAGAAGGACATATACCCGATCTAAGGGAGATCCCTTGCTGAAAGAGGCTTTCAAAAAGGCGAAAAAGAACCTCAAGAAAGAGATCCGCAAGTCGCGACGCCGTAGCTGGAAGGACCTAATCGAGGAAGTCGATAAGGACCCATGGGGTCTGGCTTTAAAAATCGTTACTAAGAAATTAGTGACGAGGCAAAAGACCCCCGGCCTGGACAATCCCGAATGGGTCAGAAAGATAATAAATTCTTTGTTTCCTCCTGCAGAGTTATACCTTAGAAGGGAGTGAGTTTTTGCAAAGTCGAAGAGGAAGAACTCTTCTCACTTAGTGAACTACAAAAAGCAGGCAAAAGATTAAAAACAGGCAAGGCGCCTGGAATCGATGGGATAAGTAACGAGATCCTAAAGTTGGTAATCGACACTTCACCCCAGATTTTGCTTCGATGGTTCAATCTTTGCCTTGAGAGAGGAGAGTTCTTCCGCGACTGGAAGCGTCAGAGGTTAGTCCTCCTGAGGAAAGGTGAAAAACCTCTAGATAAGGTTTCATCGTACAGGCCTATATGCCTGCTAGATACGATGGGTAAACTTCTAGAGAATATGGTTCTGCAGAGAATGCAAAGCCACTTGACCGAAGAGAATCGTCTATCCGATCACCAATTTGGTTTCCGTAAAGGCAAGTCAACAGTTGATGCCATCCAGGCAGTTGTGGACATAGCCAAAGCAGGAAAAAACAAATTGGAACCTGAAAAAAAGAAGAGCTTCTGCGCATTGGTAGCAATTGACATACGCAACGCGTTTAATTCCGCAAGATGGAAAGATCTCATCGAGTCGATGAAAAAGAAAAACATGCCGCCCTACTTGTTGCGGATAATGGATAATTATCTTAGCGACAGGTGGGTTATATATGAGGGAGACACCTGCACTCTCAGGGAAGAGATGCAGCGTGGGGCTCCTCAAGGCTCGAGGGTGGGTCCATTTGTATGGAATGTATCTTACGATGATTTTCTGCGAATGAATGCCGAAAGTGAGAAGGCTCTTGGGACATTTGTGAACGAATGTCTGCGACTAGCAAAAAGCTGGCTGGATACCAGAGGTCTTGAAATGGCCCTGGAAAGACCGAGGCACTGCTGGTCACAGACAGACCTGGTTATGAGCTCCCACGAATCGTGATAGACGGATTCGAGGTCAAGTGGAGTAAGCAAATTAAATATCTTGGTGTGGAGTTGGATGGAAGGTTAAACTTCCACCACCACATGGCTACGGCGTCAAATAAGGCGATCGGGTGTGCGGCTAATCTTTCACGGTTAATGCCAAACGTAGGCGGACCCCGTGAACAAAAAAGAAGACTGGTGGCGAGTGTCGCCCATGCTTCAATGCTCTACGCAGCACCAGCGTGGGCCCTATCCCTGAGTAGTAAAAGATGTGTGCACTCGCCACTTGGATAAATAGGAAACACGGTCAGGTTTCCTATTATATGACACAGGCGCTCACAGGTCACGGGTGTTTTAACTCGTACCTGTGTCGCTTTAAATTACGCGTGGACGAGGTGTGCGCATATTGCCAGTTCCCTGAGGACAACGCGGAGCACACCCTCTTCTCATGCAGAAAATGGGACTTGGGTGGCAGGCCATGTTCGAAGGTGTAAACAGTCAAGTTACACCGGAGAACATGGTATCGCTGATGACCCAGTCAGAAGAGAATTGGCGGCAAGTCGAGAACTTCATAATCTCGACGGCCGCCAAAAAGCGTAATTTAAACAGCTTTTAATTTGTTTTTTATTAATTTATTTTGTGATTTATTTGTCCTTATACATTTTTTAATTTGTTTTGTGTTTTTTATTGGTCTTTGTACAGTTTTGTCTTCTCAACATTATATACGTGTTTACTTTTTTTTCTTTTCTTTTTTATATCCGTTTGCAATTTTATCTTTTGACTTTATACACTTTTTAGAATTTGCTTTCTCATTGTTGTGCTGTAAATTCCGCTTAAACTTTGAAATAGTTTTAATTTTTTTTAACTATGGACGCAGGATAACCGCAGAGAAAAGCATAAAGTCGCACTAGCGACAGAGTTGGAGCGCCGCCCTCTAAGGCTAAAGTCTTACGACAGTTCCGAGGGAGGGTAAAGGGCTCCAGAAGAAGGGTTACGGGTTTTAGTGGGTCGGGCTGGTAGTAGGTCGCCAGTTTATTAAATTTACTATTTTATATATTTATTTTTCTTTTTTTTACTTCCTTTTGTTTTATCACACCAACCCCACATAACCTTGGAGTGCGGAGTCCAAGGTATCTGTAGGCAGATTTCCCAAAATTCCCTAAGCAAAAAAAAAAAAATAATAATAATAATAATAATAATAATAATAATAATAATAATTTTTTTTGCTTAGGGACTTTTGGGAAATCTGCTTACAGATACCCTGGATTCCGCACTCCAAGGTTATGTGGGGTTGGTATGATAAAACAAAAGGAAATATAAAAAAAAGAAAAATAAATATATATATATTATAGTAAATTTAATAAACTGGCGACCTACTGCCAGCCCGACTTACTAAAACCCGTAACCCTTCTTCTGGAGCCCTTTACCCTCTCTCGGATATATAAAAAAAAATAAAAAAAACGCGTATATAATATTGAAAACATAAAACAAATTAAAAAATGTAGAAGGACAAGTAAATCACAAAATAAATTAATAAAAAAAAAACAAATTAAAAGCTGTTTAAATTACGCTTTTTGGCGGCCGTCGAGATCCTTCCTCGACATAACCGAGATTATGAAGTTCTCGACTTGCCGCCAATTCTCCTCTGACTGGGTCATCAGCGATACCATGTTCTCCGGTGTAACTTGACTATTTACACCTTCAAACATGGCCTGCCTCTCCAAGTCCCATTTCTTGCATGAGAAGAGGGTGTGCTCCGCGTTGTCCTCAGGGAACTGGCAATATGCACACACCTCGTCCTCGCGTAATTTAAAGCGGCACAGGTACGAGTTAAAACACCCGTGACCTGTGAGCGCCTGAGTCAGATAATAGGAGACTTCTCCATGCTTTCGGTTTATCCAGGTGGTGAGTGTTGGAATCAGACGATAGGTCCATCTGCCCTTTTCCTCCCCATCCCATCTTTCCTGCCATGTCTCGATAAGTCTGTTTCTCGCGTATTTGCGGATGCGGTCCTTGCTAGGTCTTTCTTCCTCTGGGTACTCGGGATTATTTCTTCTTTTAAAAAGAAGAAATACTTTCTCCCTTTCCCTTGCCATAAGATCTGCCGGCGGGACACTTGCAAGGACTTGCACAGCACTCGTCGAGACCGTCTTATACGCAGAGACGATACGGGTAGTAACACATCTCTGCGCAGACAGCATATTATCGCAAATGGTTTTGCTTCTTGTTTTAAGTGAAGGAGCCCACGCTGCTGCTGCGTAAAACAGCTTAGCGTGGACAACACTAACTACCAGTCTCCTTTTCCTTTCACGTGGTCCGCGAACGTTTGGCATAAGTCGTGCCAAGTCTGACGCACACTTTATCCCAATTTGTTTTTTCCCGCTTTGGCTTTGTCCACAACTGCCTGAATGGCATCAACCGTGGACCTGCCTTTGCGGAAACCAAATTGGTAATCGGATAGACTATTCTCTCCGGTCAAATGGGTTTGCATTCTCTGCAGAACCATATCCTCCAGAAGTTTACCCATCGTATCTAACAGGCAAATAGGCCTGTACGACGAGACCTTATCCAGAGGCTTTTCACCCTTTCTTAGGAGGACCAGCCTCTGCCGCTTCCAGTCGCGGAAGAACTCTCCTTTCTCAAGGCAAAGATTGAAACATCGGAGCAGAATCTGGGGTGAAGTGTCGATAACCAACTTTAGGATCTCGTTACTTATCCCATCGATTCCAGGCGCCTTGCCTGTTTTCAATCTTCTACCTGCATTTCTCAATTCTGTAAGAGTGAAGAGTTCCTCCTCACCGACTTCGCAGGTACTCCAGTCCTTCCTAACCCACTGTTCTGCAGGAGGAAATAGAGCTCTTATAATCCTTCTGACCCACTCGGGATTGTCCAGGCCGGGGGTCCTTTGCCTCGTTCCTAATTTCTTAGTAACGATTTTAAAAGCCAGACCCCATGGGTCCTTTTCGACATCATCAATTAGGTCTTTCCAGCAACGGCGTTGTGACGCTCGAATCTCTTTTTTCAGGCTTTTCTTGGCCTCCTTAAATACTTCCTTTAGCAAAGGATCTCCCTTAGAACGGGTATAATTCCTTCTAGCTTTGAAGCACGCTTTCCGCAAGGAGGCCAGCGCATCAGACCACCAGTGCACTGAGCTTTTCCGTGAAGGGGTTCGCTTACGACGCGGCATAGATGCGTCGCAAGCTGTGGTGATGACTTTCCTTACCGCTCGCACCTCGGCATCCAGGGTATTCGGCCTCTTCACCCATCCCGATTCCTCAATAAGGCGGGCTTCTTCTAGGGAACGGACAAATTTCTCCTTATCGATTTTCTTCACATTCCATGAGGGGCACTTTCGTCACGGAACTTCCTGTCTTTTGCCTCCTCTTGTGTCTCCCACTGAGACCGAAAACTCGATATACTGATGGTCACTTGCGGTATACTCCTCAGAGACTCGCCAGTCGCTTATGCGTTTGAATAAGGGAGTTGATGCTATCGTAAGATCAATGATGGATCCGATTGCACCCCTCCTGAACGTCCAAGCTCTTCCCCGGTTCACAGTAATTAAACTGTTTCTGGAGACCATTTCTCCGATCACTTTGCCTCTTTTATCGAACCTTGACTCGCCCCACTCCGGCGACTTAGCATTAAAATCGCCAGTGACAAATACATCCAACCTGGATTCTCTAAGGCTCGATTCGAGTTCTTCCATGTCGGTTTCGAAGTCCGTCAGTGGATCATTAGGCGAAAAGTAGCAGCTATACATTCGTATGTCTCCAACTTCCACCCAGACAAATCCACTGCTCGTCTCCAGGTATCTGTCAACCCTCAGTTCGGGATTGCACACCTGGACAGCTGCCCTACCCGACTTATCTTGATACCAGGAACCTAGGTCGATTTTTCTGTATTGCTCGCTGCAGAACAGAATGTCGATACCCTTTTCCCTGGCCGTCTGCGTCAGAAGGGCCTGTGCCTCTCTGCACGTGTGCAGGTTGACCTGCAGAAGTTTTAAGGATTTGCCTTTTTAAGTCTCTGCAACTCTTCTCTGTAAACCGGACAAGAACCTTTTCCGGTGACATGAAGTACGTCTGTCTTAGCCAAGTCAGAGCACGTCAAACACTTAGGCTGTTTGACAGAGCAATTCTTTGCGATATGACCCTCACCGCCGCATCTCCGACAGCTTTTAGTTCTGTCGGGGCCCTTGCAATTTCGAGTCACGTGTCCGTAAACAAGACACTTTTGGCATCTTGCTACCTCTAAATGCTTTCTGACTGCAGCATTTATCCATCCTACTTTTATTTTGCCCACTTTTAGCAGAGAATCGCTCTCCGCTTCAGTCAGGCGGACCAACGCAACTTTTGTACCACTAAAACGTGGCAAAAGTCTGCACTCTATGTCCAGGTCAGGCTTTTCCAGCTTTGTCCTCACGGCAGAAACAACGTCTTCACTTGTCGCTGTTTCGTCAAGTCCTTTTATCTCGAGAGTTCTTTTATTCACAAGAGATATAACCTCGGCTTCAGTTTTTAAAACTGAAGCAAGAGCTCCTGTAAATTTCAAGATCTCTTTTCCTTTTTTTACCACGATCAGGGCCTCCTGATTAAAAGTTCTCCTGATCTGAAGGACCTCATTTCCAGATTCTTCTGGTTTTACGGCTGCAAACGCCTTTTTTAGGATTTCGTTGTAAGCCTTTGGGTCTTTCGCTGAAATCTTAATTGCTTCCGTTGTCCTAAGCTTCAAATGATGTTTGGGGAGCTCATTTTTCTTTCCTGCAGGCTTCTTCTTTAGAGGTCCTTTGTTTCCTCTGCTGACTACTTTAAATTCGTCAGATTCTGCCGATGCATTCCTTGAGGTGACTGAACCATAAGTCTCCCCTGAGGCCATCTTTTCACTTCCCTTTGGAAGTATAGGGTTTTGCGCTGGAGCTTCCTTGCACTTAACCCTCTTTTCCACTGGAGTTTCCTTCTGAAGACTTGCCTCCGGACTTTCGATCTCTCTGGGGCGTTTTCTATCAGTTATATCGCTTCCCTTAACAAACTCTTGAGTTCCTTTCTTTGGCGTACCAGGATTCGAGTTTGACGTATCCATACTTAGAGTATGAGGCTCAGGATTTTTAAACGGCTCAGGGATAAAACGCAAGTTGCTGCGAATCACCTCGTGCGCCCTCCCTATAGCCACCATACCATCCTGAACATCTTTACTTATGTTCTTTTGCTTCTTGCAGGCACGCCACATGCTTTCTAGTATTTTTGGAATCATGTCGACTTGCTCAACAACATTTCTTTCGAAGCTGCTGAGCTCCCTATCCAAGCAATTTAGGTTTTGGCCCCCCCCCAAAATCCGTGGGGCCTGCGACGGTCTTAGAAAGACCGACGGGAGTATTGTCCCCTTGCGGGGTTCCTCCTTGGGGTAATTCATTAACACCTTCACTCATATTCATTAATTTTTTGGTTTTTTATATCAGGGAACCACCCTGTTGGTTGTCCTTTAGTGAAAAGCCCCGCCACCACGGCAAGGTCTACCGAACAAATGCAAGATGCCAGTTGTGTCTGGCAGCGGACCCACCTCTCCCAACTCATCAAAGAAATCAATCATGTCCGGCAGTGGACCCACTTCTCCCAGCACGTCGAAGACATCGATGATGTTCGGTAGTGGACAACCATCGGCGGGGATTATTATTATTAATATTATTATTATTATTTCTTTTTTATTCACGGGGGAAAAGAGGAAATGCATTTACGCATCCCCAGGAAGATCCCACTTACCTGCGGTATGTCGGACTCGTACAAAATGCAAGGAAAAAAAAAGAAACCTCACATACCTGCTTTTAACGGCAGTCACCCTACCGACTAAAACCTCTTCTTGTTTCCTCTGGGTTTCGAACCTTCTATCCACCTACGGAACTACCTAGTGGCTTCAGACTTCGTAGATGAATGGTTCCATGTAGTCGCTGGCGCAACTCTCCCGTGCCGCTCTTGTTTTGGCCTTATTTTCTCCTTGTCCTTGACAAAGTCTTCTTTGCTTCCTCGAGGGAAGTTCTGAAGATCTTGCAACTCCCTGATCCGGCTACATGTTGGATGTTCTCCTTTTCGTCGAACTTTGCCTTGCATAAGAAGCAGCATGGGCTCTTCTTACAGTCTGCTGCCTTATGGCCGGCTTCTCCGCACTTAAAGCACTCAGCCGACCTATCTACTGCATTGCAGTCTCGACCTATATGACCATAGTCAAGACACCTATGGCACCTTTTGACCATCACTCTACTTCTGATCCTGCAGGACACGAATCCAATCTTTACGTGACCCACCTTCTCCAGCTTATCAGCATCTTTCTGGCTGGTGACCACAACAGCGAGTTTCACTCCTCGCTTATTTGGCCCAACGACCGTCACCTTGCTGCTTCCAGCTGGAACTGTGGAAACTTTCTCCAGGGCATCCTCAACATCTTCCTTCTCAGTAAGGGCATCCATGTCGCGGATTTCCAGCGTAGTTCGCCGATCCGCCATCTGCACCTTACCCAAATCGCCGATTACCTTTGTCACCTCCTCGGTGAACAGCTTCTTGTTTGAAGACCCTCCAATTTTAATGAGAAGGTCTCCCTTTTTAGTGGGTAAAGCTCCCACAACCCTTGTCTGGCTGGCCTCCAGGTCAGCCTCCCTTCGAACCTTCGCCAGCACTTCAGCGAAAGTTTTTCCTTCGGCCACTTTAACGATCACTGTGGCTCTTCCCTTCTTGACCTGGTCTGGCTTTGGAACCGTTTTGTTCCCCTTGCCTCCAGTCTTTTTTGGTTTCTCCTCCTTTTTCCTTTTTGGATCCTTCGCAGGCTCAGGATCACTTCTCTTCCGCTTCTGAGCATCCAAGACGACGTTTCTCAACACGATCGCGTTACAGCGATCTCGTCTAGCTCTGCGATCTTGTCTAGCTTCTTCAGACCAGGTCAAACCCTGGTAGAAACTCTCGTCCTTTTTCGCAGCTGCTGCGTGCTTCTCCTTTACGTCCCTTATGAGCGATGTTAAGCTTTTGAGTCCATCCTTGATTGTCCTATTGACATTCTTCTGGACTTCACAGGACTTCAGCATCTTGCTGACCTCCTCCTCCATTTCTAGAATGCTCGCTGCCTCTTCCTCCCGCAGCTTAACGCATTCATCTCGATCTTGGTTGCAGCTTGCAATGTCCTTTGCCGAGGCATTACTGAAGACAGAAATGCAGCTGGCTTGACTCGTCACGCTGCTCGTACTCCCTCGTCTCTCCGACCTGTCCACGATGATCTGTGGCACTACCAACGCGTTGTTGCCCTCCTGCATCCTTGGGCCACTGGCCACCGCCCTCACGCTTGAAATCGCTTGACGATCGGAACCAGTGAGGAATTTAGCCGTAGCATTACCCCGCAGGTACTCTTTCTCGTTTTTACAATCGCTCATGATGGATGTTTCTTGTTTGCTGGTTTTGGTCCGCGTCGAGTATTTGATTTCCTCGATACCACCTATTTCTAGGAAGCTAACCTATCCGCCACCTGGCACGCGTCCGATAGAGGACCAGCAACCCCGCGCAAAAGAACAGCTCTAATGCGCCCCAGGTAGAACAAAAGTTCCAACCGGGCACGGAATTATTATTATTATTATTATTTTTTTTTTTGCTTAGGGACTTTTGGGAAATCTGCCTACAGATACCTTGGATTCCGCACTGCAAGGTTATGTGGGGTTGGTATGATAAAACAAAAGGAAATATAAAAAAAGAAAAAAAAATATATATATTATAGTAAATTTAATAAACTGGCGACCTACTACCAGCCCGACCCACTAAAACCCGTAACCCTTCTTCTGGAGCCCTTTACCCTCCCTCGGAACTGTCGTAAGACTGTAGCCTTCGAGGGTGGCGCTCCAACTCTGTCGCTAATGCGACTTTCTGCTTTACTCTGCGGTTATCCTGCGTTAATAGTTAAAAATTTAAAACTATTTCAATATAAAGCGGAATTAACAGCACAACAATAATTAAAAATAACAACTGTGTAATTAAGTGTAAAAAGTCAAAGATAAAATTATAAACATAAAAAAAAATTAATTAAAAAAAAAAAAAAAAAAATTAATTAATTAATTAATTAATTTAATTTAAATTAAATTAAATTATATTTATTTAATTATATTTTTAAATTTAATTAATTAATTAATTAATTAATTAATTAATTAATTAATTAAAAATAATTAATTATAAAATTATAAAACTGTACAAAGATGAATAAAAAAACCACAAACAATTGAAAAATTTATAAGGACAAATAAATCACAAAATAAATTAATAAAAAACAAACGAAAAAATTAAAAGCTGTTTAAATTACGCTTTTTGGCGGCCGTCGAGATCCTTCCTCGACATAACCGAGATTATGAAGTTCTCGACTTGCCGCCAATTCTCCTCTGACTGGGTCATCAGCGATACCATGTTCTCCGGTGTAACTTGACTGTTTACACCTTCGAACATGGCCTGCCTCTCCAAGTCCCATTTCTTGCATGAGAAGAGGGTGTGCTCCGCGTTGTCCTCAGGGAACTGGCAATATGCACACACCTCGTCCTCGCGTAATTTAAAGCGGCACAGGTACGAGTTAAAACACCCGTGACCTGTGAGCGCCTGAGTCAGATAATAGGAGACTTCTCCATGCTTTCGGTTTATCCAGGTGGTGAGTGTTGGAATCAGACGATAGGTCCATCTGCCCTTTTCCTCCCCATCCCATCTGCCCTGCCATGTCTCGATAAGTCTGTTTCTCGCGTATTTGCGGATGCGGTCCTTGGTAGGTCTTTCTTCCTCTGGGTACTCGGGATTATTTCTTCTTTTAAAAAGAAGAAATACTTCCTCCCTTTCCCTTGCCATAAGATCTGCCGGCGGGACACTTGCAAGGACTTGCACAGCACTCGTCGAGACCGTCTTATACGCAGAGACGATACGGGTAGTAACACATCTCTGCGCAGACAGCATATTATCGCAAATGGTTTTGCTTCTTGTTTTAAGTGAGGGAGCCCACGCTGCTGCAGCGTAAAACAGCTTAGCGTGGGCAACACTAACCACCAGTCTCCTTTTCCTTTCACGTGGTCCGCGAACGTTTGGCATAAGTCGTGCCAAGTCTGACGCACACTTTATCGCCTTATTCAAGGCCGTCGCTATATGGTAATGGAAGTTTAACCTTCCATCGAGCTCCACTCCTAAATACTTAATATGTTTACTCCACTTGACCTCGAATTCGTCTATCACGATTTGTGGGAAACTATAACCACGTCTTTCTGTGACGAGCAGAGCTTCGGTTTTTTCCAAGGCCATTTGAAGACCTCTGGCATCCAACCAGCTTTTAACTCGCCGCAGACATTCGTTCACCAATATCCCAAGGGCTTCCTCGCTTTCGGCTGAGCACACGACCAACGCATCGTCCGCAAAGCCGATGATGACCGCGCCTTCAGGTAGACCCATTTGCAGGAAGTTATCATAGGATACATTCCACACGAATGGTCCCACCCTCGAGCCTTAAGGGGCACCACTTTGCATATCTTCCTTCAGAGTCCAGTTGTCCCCCTCATATATTACCCACCTGTCGCTAAGATAATCATTCATTATCCGCAACAAGTAGGGCGGTATTCTCTTCTCCATCATCGACTGGATGAGATCTTTCCATCGTGCGGAGTTAAACGCGTTACGTATGTCAATAGCCACCAATGCACAGAAGCCCTTCTTCTTCTTTGGTCCCAATTTGTTTTTTCCCGCTTTGGCTATGTCCACAACTGCCTGAATGGCATCAACCGTGGACCTGCCTTTGCGGAAACCAAATTGGTAATCGGATAAACTATTCTCTCCGGTCAAATGGGTTTGCATTCTCTGCAGAACCATATCCTCCAGAAGTTTACCCATCGTATCTAACAGGCAAATAGGCCTGTACGACGAGACCTTATCCAGAGGCTTTTCACCCTTTCTTAGGAGGACCAGCCTCTGCCGCTTCCAGTCGCGGAAGAACTCTCCTTTCTCAAGGCAAAGATTGAAACATCGGAGCAGAATCTGGGGTGAAGTGTCGATAACCAACTTTAGGATCTCGTTACTTATCCCATCGATTCCAGGCGCCTTGCCTGTTTTCAATCTTCTACCTGCATTTCTCAATTCTGTAAGAGTGAAGAGTTCCTCCTCACCGACTTCGCAGGTACTCCAGTCCTTCCTAACCCACGGTTCTGCAGGAGGAAATAGAGCTTTTATAATCCTTCTGACCCA